TAGTGGGTGATAAGAGGTGAAAATGTATATACTGTAAGGTTTCCGTTTCAAATGCGTCTTTACGTCAAGGATAGCTTTTTCTCATTTTTTCGCTGAATGTTGTATCTTGGTATACAACCGTTTCTAAAAAGAATGTCTCATTTTCAGATCTTTCGGCCGTGAATTTCATAGGAGGGCATGTAAGTTTAATTGTTCCACGAAGAAAGCTACGATGTCTGGTTTACTTATGTCCCATAGGGGAAAAATGTCATTTATGTAGCGTTTTCAAACAGCTGGTTTAAAGACGGTTTTGCTTAAACTTTGTGTTTTAATATGTGCCATGAAAATGTTGGAAAGGAAACTGCTTTCTTTGTGCTCATCGCGGTAACGTGGGTTTGTACTGATAGTTCTTTACATTAAACGGGAAAGAATTTTCTTTGAGGATTAATCTAAGCAAAAAACATTCGGTTTTTTCACCTTTGACTTTTCAATAAAATTTATAAAGTCGGTAGTGTCTTTAAGGTGTGACTTTGTGATTTTGATATTGGCTGTAGCAATGTACCTGTATCAACAACAAAAAAAGGAAATTCTTTCCCTTAGGCCATCTGATGAGTCATAAATTTAAAGAGGTTACTTACTTTCTCGAGCTAACGGTTAGATTAATTACAAAATGCTCTTTTTTCTGGAAACAAATATTGATAATATCAGCCCATGTCGGTAGTCGGTTAATATTTTTCCTGTCGGTAGTCGGCAATTTTTTACTCATTTTGTCGGTAGTCAGTAATATTTTTCGCCCTTTGTCGCTAGTCGGTTAACCCCATTCACACCCTCATTCAAGGATATTGTCTCCAAGTTTTATTTTCACGTTAACAGCAGTGAATAACAATACATTTGAAATACGCAAAAATGCTAGCTATTGTTGCTCACGAAAATATGAAACTTGGAGACAATACCCTGAATAATAAGAGGCTCTCGCTTGTAAACACAAAATTTCTGACAAAATGTTAGCGAATTGTAGCCCTTATTTTACTGCCTTACAATACATCAATAACCTTGAAACTAAAAGGTCATATAAGAGGAAGGTTAATCTCAGGACTCTTAAATTTTTTAAAAAATCTATCGAGTGGTTCAAACTGACTTATTGGCTTATTTGCTAAAGCAGACCGAAATGTTTGCAAAACCGCAAACCAGAGCGCCTCGATACATGCCAATCAAATCCTTCTTTCTAGCAATCGGCTGGCTATCGGCTATCTCCATAATCTCTCACACACGTTTTTAAAAAGTTTGGAACTACTATGAGGTGAAATTGCATGTCAAAGCGCTTCGTTTTCTTACGAAAACACCTGAACATCAAGATTGTCCATTTTTTCCTTTTTTTTTAACCATAAAAACTTCATCCTGAAATATCTCGATAACGCTCTTACAGATGCCGCTAATAAACTTCACGAACATTGAGGCAGCTATTTTTGGGAAAAAGTTTTTGTGAACGATTTTGGAAGAACAGTTCCCAGTGCCGAGAAATACTGCTGCAAGTGAAACAGATAATGGTGTCATTTCGTTGCTATGACAACTCTGATGTCATTGCAACCCTGATCATAACAATTTTCATCTTTATCTAATACAATTGTGGTGGTAATTATTCCAAATCTCTGTTTATGGCGATGTATGTCGATGTATGGCGATGCCCAAACTTGGGAGGTATTGACCATAAAAAACTGTATCGAGCCACCTTAAATTTGTCTAGAGGAGGAATTTTATGTCGTCACAAACAGCAAAGTTGAATTGCAATTAATTGCAACGAGAACTTTTATGAGAATTAATTTCCATTATTTTTTTTCGTCTTGGGTTTGTTTGTATAAATTGAGGGATTTATACAGATAAATTCCTAATTAATAGTTATGAATTCAATTCACTATCCCCGCTCTTCCCTGCTGTGTTATCAAGCC